AGAATAAGATAAAAGAAGAAATGATACTAATAAATGTTTATTGAATATGTTAAGGAAAAAGGCAATGGGGAGACACCCGAAGTGTTAATTATGCATTTAGATTAGAAATATGGAATATAGCATTTGAAATAGTTAAGCTCAACACAGGATTTGGATTTGTGGATTTATTTTGATGAAAGGTTATTGAGGATTGTTATGACTGACTTAGTTGTATTGAAATATGTTAATTTGAATATAATATGCTATTAGAGGGAAAAGAGAGGGGTTTTTTAACGATTTAATCTGAACTTTATGAATATGACTTTGTTTGTGGACAATTGATTGCCCTGCCACCACGTTGTTTCTTAAGCACTTGTTTGTAAAACGAAAAAAAAAAACCAATAAAATTTGTTTAAAAAAAAAAAAAGGCTGAGCGCCAAAGAATTGAGGCCTTTGAACTATGGTGCTGGAGAAGACTCCTGTGAGTCCCCTGGACTGCAAGGTGATCAAACCGGTCAGTCCTAGAGGAGATCAACCCTGACTGCTCTTTAGAAGGCCAGATCCTGAAGTTGAAACTCAAGTACTTTGGCCACCTAATGAGAAGGAAGGACTCACTGGAGAAAAGCCTAATGCTGGGAAAGATTGAGGGCAATAGAAGAAGGGGACGACAGAGAATGAGGTGGCTGGATGGAGTCACTGAAGCAATAGGCGTGAGCTTAAATGGACTCCAGAAGATGGTAGAGGACAGGAAGGCCTGGAGGAACATTGTCCATGGGGTCGCGATGGGTCAAACACGACTTCGCAACTAACAACAACAACGTTTCATCTATGGCTTTGACTTGCTCACCCTCCCAATAAAGACGTAACAGATAATGATACCAGAAAAAAAGGGAAAAACAAGTGTGAAAGATTGTAGAATGTTACAGCAGCTGTTGAAAAATTGGAATTATCAACTTGTTTCCTCCACTTTTAAAGTATACTATACATTTTTTCAACAGATGCGTGCATACAATTCATATACAGTTAAAATCAGTAATTCAGTCTGAATATTGCCTAATGAATTCTGAACTTAGATGAAATGTCTACAAAATACCATATGAGAACTTGAAGCTTATTATACTGAATAGGAAACTGAAATTTTCCACTAGAGTCTTCAAATACAATACAAAATAAGAGAGGAGGAAGCCTAGTGTATGGCAGAGTATCCTTTACAGGATAAATTTAATTAGTATCAAAAGCAGAGTGTAAATATGTTTTTCGGTTTCAATCCCAAATTATTCAGTTTGTATCTAATTATAATGGAGTAGTAGCACCCTAAATTAGCTTAAGTACATGGAAGAAATTACAGCAAGAGAAAATGTGTAAGCAAGCTCATAACCAGAACTGGCAATGCACAATGTAGAAAGAACAATACTTGCCAGATATAGTAATAATAATAATAATAATAATAATAATAATAATAATAATAATAGTAGTAGTAGTAGTAGTAGTAGTAGTAGTAGTAGTAGTAGTAGTAAAGTTGGAAGGGACCTTGGAGGTCATCTAGTCCAACCCCCTGCTCAGGCAGGAAACCCTATACCATTTCGGACAAATGGCTGTCCAGTCTCTTCTTAAAGTTTTGAATGAATGGTGCTTCAGGTTCTTAACGCAGCAACTTTTGGAAGCCACAAGGTAATGAATAAAAAACAAAATAGCAGCCAATCACTTCACATAAAAACTTGATTTAACTTTATTTATCCTTAGAGTCAACAACTGGTTTGTATTGAGTTTTAAAGCAACTAAGTAATGTAATCTTAATGACAAAGGGTCAGAAATCCAGATTTTGTGAAAATGTTAATACTGCATTATTGATTTATAACCTCTTTACTCCAAAAGGAAAAAAAATTCCAAATAAAAACTATACATCTGTAATGTCAGCAGTAACTTTCTCACTGATCAAAAGATAATTTTGGGGGAAGGTAATACTATTCTGCTTTGCACCAATAAAGCTGGTATAAGCTGTTTTTTATATCAGAATTATGTCCTGTGACTGTCAATGAAACCTACCCCATATACATTTTTATTTTATTAAAGTAACAATGTTCAAGTTTGTATAGTTGGAAAGTGAACTTGTTCAGTCTCCATTTATAATTTAGTGTACTTGATAAATCATATTTTTCATAAACTATAAAAGCACATATTCAAAGCAGAAGTTCCATCAACTGAAGCACTAAATACAGAGAAAAACGTAGTTATTTCCAGAAACCCAACCTCATGAAAAAGGCAGGTAAACAGGCAGACGTATAAACCCTTCTGCCTATAATAGATGCAGGAAATGAGTTTGGATACTTGTCAATGTTTCTCTTAACAGGCTAAAATATTGCAGAATATAAACTTGAAGCTAAACAAGGAGGTTTTGAGAACACCAGGTGCTATGGTGCTCAGTAGCATTCATTACTGTCAGGTCAGATGATATACAATTCAAATGTAGCTCTTATATTTTACCTCTTCTATGCAAGATCTGCCACACACATTTGAAAAGCAGCAAGACCACTTCTTTTCAAAACAAATGGCCTCATCCAAGCATATAATCTGTGCTGTGAGTTGTGAAATTGCAACTTGATATACAGTCCTGAACACAACATACTGCAACAATATGAGTGGTGTCTTATAAAATAAATACCTCAAAAGGAGTTGTTCTACTAGCTGAAATGTCAAAATATCTACACTGTTGGAAGGGTCACAATGGGAATAGTCAATTCACATTTTACCATTCCAGTTGAGATATTGCTGTTAAATGGAAGATTTAAAAAGCTGACAAGTATGCATGTGCCAAGGACTGAATTAAAGGACTCTTTGGTGCAATCAGTTCAAATTCAATGAAGTGGAAAGAAAATATGTACCAATTTTTAAAAATTGCCTCTAAGACCTGGACAGCAGCCCTATCTTGCTTCACAATACAAATCTAAAACAGCTGTTCTCAGTAAGCCAAAATTTAAGTCAGACATTGCCTGAAAGTTTTGCACAATAATCTGGACCAATGATGGTTCTGTACCCTCATGTTGCTGTGAAACATGACTTGAGCTAAAGGCAAAGGCTGGTTATCTCAAGGACAACTGCTTCAATATTAGCAATCAGTACAGTGTTTTTAAACTGTCTTCCTGTTGGGTCTCTTGCCTTTCTTTAAAATTAGTTTATTCTTAATGTAGCCACGCTTCCTTTTGGCAGTCTAAAAAGAAAAACAAAATAGTGTATTAGTATTTATAATGCTCTAGTGACAATACTCATGTTTTTGCATTGCTCTAGAATACTTAATTATTATGTTTCAGTCATGGCTAGAAGGGTAGGAAGTACCATATACAGGTACTTTGGAATGTGATCTTTCCAGTTTTGGCATGTAGCACGTTCCCCAAATTTAAGAGTGTAATCCTATGCATGTTTTCCTTTAGTCATTGTTGATCTTTTCAATGAAACCTAAATCTCATTATATGGCAGTGTTTGCTGTAAATAAATGTAGCCTAAAACCTACGTTTTCACACTTACCGTGTTTCCCCAAAAATAAGACCCGGTCTTATATTTTTTTTGCCTCCAAAAGAGGCACCAGGTCTTACTTTTCGGTGGATGCTCACGGCATGAGGCTTGTTGTGCTCAGGGCTTTTTTTCAGCCGGAACGCGGCGGAACCGCGTTCCGGCACCTTTTTCCGGGCCGGCCGCACCGGGCGCAACATCTGGGGGGGCGCGCTCGCACTCGCAGCTCTCTGCCCCTGCCTGGCTCACAACCGCGGCCATAGGGAGGCTCGGTCGGCGCGCCCCTGGCCCGTTTCCATCCGCTGGGACGGGCTCGAAGAAGCGGCAGAGAATCCAGAGGCTCTCACGCCGGCGCCCTCAAAGCCAAACGCGCGCATTCCTGTTCTCTAAAGGGGCGGTCCTAGGGTTTGATGAGGGCGTGGCCAGGTTTGGGTGGGGGCGTGGCCAGGGGAGGGAGGTGAGTTCCACCACCTTTTCTCTGAGAAAAAAAGCCCTGGTTGTGCTGCTCACGCCGCTGTCACTGCTTGCAGGCTGAGCGGCTTGTTGCGAGCGACGGCAGTGGCACGATCAGCGTGACGAGCCTCACGCTGCAATTGGCAGCAATGGTGAGTGGTGCAATGAGCCTCACGGCATGAGTGGCGGCAACAGCACGATGCGCTATATGGCATGTGCCGCAAGCAGCCACAGAAGAATTCAGGCAGCGGTGTAACAGGTATCGGGGCATGGGAGGTCTGGCTGCAGCGGTCCTAAGGTGCGGGGCACATGGGGCAGCTCCACCCCCCCAAGCTTGATTTTTAGGCGTGCGCCTTGCCCCAAAACTAGGACTTATTTTTGGGGTAGGGCTTATATTAGGCCCAATCCCCCCCCCCAAAATCAAGCTAGGGCTTATTTTCGGGGTAGGGCTTACTTTCGGGGAAACACGGTATTTATAGCAAACACTGCCATTTAATTTCAATGCCAGTTATTTAGTATATTATCCGGCAGCAAGGAAAAATATTTCTTGATGCTTGTTTACTTTCTGCTAATGCCACAGTAACTTTCAGCAATCAACACATAAAGTACTATTTCAAAAACTACAGATATAACCGTCTAATTTCTCTAAAAGAGTTATCATGGTTGTTATTTAAAAATAATGCTCTGAGGTTTATATTTTAATTACTATGGACAAAAAGAGTTATATTGTGCTCCAGATATTTCCAAAATGATAATGTTATGATGTTCATTTTTTCCACTGCAATTTCCCACATAATTATTTAAAGCTGATATTTATCTCAATGTGATTATATTTGAATACATATATTGAAAAATATTGATTTGATTTGGAATTATCTTCTGTTCATTTACTTTCCATTTTGTTAATTGATAAAAATAAACTATTAACACTTCTATTTCTGAAAGCATTCTTAATTTACAGCATTTTTGCACAACTGCCTAACACTTTTGCACAGTACCATATGTGCAACTCTAGTTTCTTAGTTGAACAGTACAATACATTTAAAACATGCAAAACTCAGAATCGTCCCTAGAAATGTTTACAGTAGACTATTTTTCTATAAGAAATCAGGTAAAACTTTTCTGTTTGAAGAGGATTTTATTTCTATTCCTGAACACTTGATTGTTCAATAGACTGGAACAGCAAACAATAATGGTAAAGAAAATGTTGCGTGAGAGGTTGGCCGGAGCACACATGTGCACACACAAGAGTGCCTGTTGGCCCACTGCTTGTACAAGTTGAGCTGTGCTCACACATGCTCCAGCCAGTCACTCGCATGGCCCAATTCCGAATAGGCCACGGCCTGGTAGTGGGCCGTGACCTAGGGGTTGGGGACCCCTGGTCTAAGCATCATTTTTCAGAAAGATATTTTCACATTTACTGAGTGAATCAACATAATTACTGGAACACTATTAATGTGTTCTAGATAGTAAATTTTGTTATACTTAGCTGGGATTTTGGGGACATAGCCTGCCTATGAGGACAAATGATAAATAGAATCTCCACATGCTGTATTAATCAAAATGCTAACCATTATTATCATCCATTAGGTCTGTTATTTGAAACAAAGTATGTGTTTATGTAGCTAGTAGAAAGACCTAATTGTATAGCTGGTAAAACTAGCATAGCATTAAAAATTTCCTTTGAAATATTTCACTAGGAACCCACCTTTTTTGACAAATACTTCTGTTTTGGTAAAATGTTGGTTAGTCTAGGCTTATGATCCAGTGTTTCTCTGTTGTCTAGTCTTTTCACTTTATATATTCTAACAAGCCAGTGCTCTGAAGTGAAGGCTTCTTCCAAATGTTTAAACGTAATGTCTTTGTTGCCAATTTCAGCATTGCGGGTTCGATCAAATCCTGGGGGAGTCCGAAAATCTAGCTACAAAATTAATGCTATTCATTAGTTTGCAGGTATATTCAGTTCTAGAAATGGAAATATAAATGTATATATATTACATTGAAAACATAGACAATATATTTTAAAATGTTATTTATATACATAGTTTTTTATATAATTTGGAACAAATCATAATTAAAGAGGCCTTACGTTTACTCCATAATGTCAGAACCCATTCTTATAGGGGGGGGGAAGAATCTATTTCATTTCTTTCTATTTCCTACTGAGGGGGAGGGGGGAAGGCTCTGCGTGCTGTTTCTCTGCTTTGCTACAATGTATCCTTGCCGCTATTCCTGCATACTTGCTCTTTGAACTGTCTCTCCCTTGATGTTACCTTGGGGTGAGAAAGGAATGTGCCTCCGGCCATCTGGCTTATCTCTCTCTGCGGAAGGGAAGGTGCAAAGACCTAACAACACCATCGCAAGCCTGGGAACAGACTCTGTTATCAGCTCCTTTCCCACAGCGGACTTAACACCTGAGGATTGGCCCATTCAAACTGACTGGATTAACTATTGGGGTGGGGCTTGCTTGGGACTCTTTTAACCTATTGATCTGAGCGGGAAACCCTCAGATCCTGCCTATTATGCCTGCTATCAGCTTCTCCTAATAAAAGTTCCTTTTGGAAGAAACTGCTCCAAGAGTCCTGCTTTCTTAGGATGAGGTTTTGAAGTGGGCCCTGACATTAGGTAGGATCTGCAGTAATAGTCAGCCCGGAAGGAAGACCCTAAGCAAACGATGTCGGATATCGGAACGGAAAAGGAAGAACCTGCCATGGGAGGGGAGATCTCCCACGTAGCAGACCCCAGCAAATACAGTTCTCAATCCTTGAGCTCGTCGGACAAGGTAGTGGTCGCGGAACGCCGCCACAAGCCCAGGTGGTTGATGGATGTCGGGAAGGAGGACTGGGAGAAGAAATCCAGGAAAGTGACGCTCAGACGCGGCAGTCACCAACTGGGTTGGAAAGTCGAGATGGAGAGGTCGCTTCACCTTAGCAAAGATGAAGACGACAGACCACCCCGTTCCAGCCAATTCCTGGAGCAAGCCATCGACATGTTGAGAGTCGCCTTCGATTCCATGAGGGAGGAGAAAACCGACCCATGCCAGGGAATTGCCAACCTGGGCTCGACCGAAGGAACGGATGAAGGGGGGGGCGAGCCAGCAGTCCCAGGCCCTTCCACCAGCACCGCAGAAACAGCAGCCGTCGCTACTGCCGCCACCCCCCCTGACGAGCCGCACCAGCCGATGGAGATGGCCACCGACACAGACGGAAGAAGGGACATCGGTCCATCCAAAAGTTCCCGCCGCTGGGAGTAAAATATTGCAGGGAGCCACACCGCCTGGGATTTTTCCTGACCCAGGTGTTGAATTACATGGAGGAATATGGACGTGACATACCAAGTGACCGCAGCTGGATCCGGATTGTGCAAGCAGCCCTGGATGGCACCACAGCGGACTGGGTGGTGGATCTCCATGACGCTGATGCCCCAGAACTGCAGAACTTGCAAACAGGGTGAACTAGAAATTCAGGTTAATGAGGGCAGATATGATATTGTTGCCATTACAGAAACATGGTGGGATGAAACCCACAAATGGAACACACAGCTAGAGGGATTTAAATTATTTAAAAGAAACAGACCAAATAAAAGAGGAGGCAGAGTTGCTCTCTATATAAGAAATAACTACATCTCTACAGAAATAGAGCACAACAATGATGAAAACTGTCTTGAATGCATTTGGGTCAATATAAAAGGGGGGGAAAATGACATTGCCATAGGTGGATACTACAGGCCACACAACCAAACAGAGGAAATAGATGAACTTTTTGCTAGTCAGCTAACTAAGGTATGTAGGAAGCACGTCACAATAGTAATGGGGGACTTTAACTACCCTGACATCAACTGGGAGACAAACTCTGCACCAAGTGGAAGATCAAACAGATTCCTTGCAAACCTAGCAGACAACTTTGTCTCCCAAAAAGTAGAGAAGGGAACTAGGGGATTAGCCATTTTGGATCTAATTCTCACTAACAGAGATGAAATGATAGAAGGTGTTGATGCCACAAGAACCTTGGGAGGAAGTGATCATGCAATATTGGAATTCAACATTATGGAAGCACAAGCAATAGAACACAGTCAAACTAGAGTCTTGGACTTCAAGAGAGCTAATTTCAATAAACTTAGAGAGGGCTTGGTAAGGATTCCATGGATGAGCATCCTCAAGGGGAAAACAACTCAAGAAGCTTGGGAAATTTTGAAAAGTGACATAATAATAAAAGTCCAGTCTAGCACAATACCAACAAAGAGGAAAAATAACAGCTCTCAAAAGAAACCAGCATGGCTGCATAAAGAACTCTCTGATAAATTGAAAGATAAAAAGGACAAGTATAGAAAGTGGAAAGAGGGGCACATAACTAAGGCAGAATATCAGCAAATAGCCCGAGCCTGCAAAGATGAAGTGAGGAAAGCTAAGGCTCAAAATGAACTAAGGTTTGCGACCAAAGTCAAAAATAACAAAAAAAGCTTTTCAACATGTAAAAAACAAGAAAAAAGTGAAGGAAATGATTGGTCCATTAGTGGGGGAAAGTGGCAAGAAGGTGACAAGCAAAAGGGAGAAAGCAGAACTATTTAACTCATTTTTTGCATCTGTCTTTACAGAAAGGGAAAAAACAGACCAACCTACCAAAACTAGTGCCATAAAAAACAGAATAGAAACACAAGTTAAGATAGGCAAGAAAATGGTAAGTGAGCACCTGTCCAGCCTACATGAGTTCAAATCACCAGGACCAGATCAAGGAACTGGCAGATGTGATCTCAGAACCATTGAACTATATTTTTCAAAGATCCTGGAGCACTGGGGAACTACCGGAGGACTGGAAAAGAGCTGAAGTAGTTCCCATCTTCAAAAAAGGAAAAAAAATGGACCCAGGAAACTATAGACCTATCAGCCTGACCTCAATACCTGGGAAGATTCTGGAAAAGATAATCAAACAACGAATCAGCAAACACCTAGAGGCAAACAAAGTCATTACTAAAAGCCAACATGGGTTTGTCAAAAACAGATCATGCCAGACAAATCTTATTGCATTCTTTGACCAAGTGAAAAAATTAGTGGATCAGAGGAATGCTATGGATATAATTTACTTGGACTTCAGTAAGGCATTTGATAAAGTAGATCACAACCTACTACTTGATAAGATAGAAAAATGTGGGTTAGACAGCATCACCACCAGATGGATTTGTAGCTGGCTGACCGGCCGTACTCAGCGTGTGGTCCTCAATGGAACTGCATCTACATGGAGGGAAGTGTGTAGTGGGGTGCCCCAGGGCTCTGTTCTGGGCCCAGTGCTCTTCAACATCTTCATCAATGATTTGGATGAGGGGATAGATGGGGAACTCATCAAATTTGCAGACGACACCAAGCTGGCAGGAATAGCCAACACTCCAGAAGACAGGCTTAAGATACAGGAGGATCTGGACAGACTTGAACACTGGGCACTATCTAACAAAATGAAATTCAGTGGTGAAAAAGGTAACGTTCTACATTTAGGCAAGAAAAACCAAATGTACAGGTATAGTATAGGGGGTACTTTGCTCAATAGTAGTAACTGTGAGAGGGACCTTGGAGTCCTAGTGGACAATCACTTAAATATGAGCCAGCAGTGTGCTGCAGCTGCCAAAAAGGCCAACACAGTGCTAGGTTGCATTAACAGAGGGATAGAACCAAGATCACGTGAAGTATTAATACCACTTTACAATGCCTTGGTAAGGCCACACTTGGAATACTGCATCCAGTTTTGGTCACCACGATGTAAAAAAGATGTTGAGACTCTAGAAAGAGTACAGAGAAGAGCAACAAAGATGATTAGGGGAGTGGAGGCTAAAGCATATAAGGAATGGCTGCTGGAATTGGGTATGTCTAGTTTAATGAACAGAAGGACTAGGGGTGACATGATAGCAGTGTTCCGATATCTCAGGGGCTGCCACAAAGAAGAGGGAGTGAAGCTATTTTGGTTTCGCGGACTTCCGTCCTGTTCTTCGTTGCCTACCTTTGATTAGTTCCTCTCTTCGTTGGATCTTGATTCCTCTTTGAAGGACTGTCAATCTTGTTAATTGGTCACCTTGTTGGACGGAGGTCTTCGTCACTTACGAGGTTGTGACCTTCAAAAATTCTTCTCTGACCTGTCGGTAAACAGACTTTACCATATCCGCAGTGGTTCTCAACCTGTGGTTCGGGACCCCATTTGGGGTCGATCAACCATTTCATGGGGGTCGCCAAGCAAGGCTGTCCGCCATTTTTTTTGTCCGCCATTTTTTTTGTACACCATTTTCCCCCCTTTTCCGGCGGGTGCCTTACCTCCCTTGGGCTGGGCCAGCTGGTGGTCGGCCTGCTCTGTCTCTGCCGCTTGCCAGCTACGCCTCGGCCGGCGCAGGGGGCAGAACCACGCATGCGCGGCGCTCCCGGGCAGAGAAAGTCCTTGACTTACGACTAGTTGGGTAGTCCTCGACTTACGACCGGTTTAGTCCTCGACTTACGACCGGTTTAGTCCTTGACTTACGACCGATTGGGGTCACGGCATTAAAAAGGTTGAGAACCACTGGTATAGGGTTTCCTGCCTGAGCAGGGGGTTGGACTAGATGACCTCCAAGGTCCCTTCCAATTTTATTATTATTAACTTCAACCAATTTATGGCGGCCCTCAGATGCAGATTTGAAGACCCCTTGACTGATCGGAAAGCACGGGAACGTATAAAAGCCATCCGGTAAGGCCGGCGACCCGTGGCAGAATACACCCAAGAATTCCAAGCCCTGGCTAGTAAGCTGAACTGGCCAGAAGACATCTTGATTGGACATTTTAAAGATGGCCTAAACCACAGGTCGGCAACCTGTGGCTCCGGAGCCGCATACGGCTCTTTGAGCCTTCCCCTGCGGCTCCCAGCCTCCTCTGCCATTTGCAGAGAGAGAAAGAGACAGAGCTTCTCTCTCTGTGTAAAAAAGAGAGTAGCCTCACCCTGTTCCAAT